ATTGACTTCTCACCTGGGTGCACAAGGTAACTAAAGGCAGGATGAAAGCCTGGCATCTATGCCTTTATTTTACATTCCTGCTTACCTCTGCAGGTTGGTATAATACTCTCTCAAGGAGTGTTTGATGAATCTATGTTTTTCCCTCCAAGGCTTAAATTAGAGAGAGTCCTCTCCTAAACCTGGAGTTACCTTGGATTCCAAGAACAAAACTTCACAGGACCCACCCCCCACATGAGGGCAATAATCCATGAGCACAGGGCTGCTCCCTGGAGCAGAATTGATCATCTGTTAGGAAGCAGGCTGACACCTTCAGTGGTGACATCAATAAAGACATCAGACCACCTGGCAGAACCAGGGCTGAGATGATGGCGGGCAGGACTACACCCTGACCAGGACTGCTCAGTTATGTATCATATTGCCCCTGCCTCAATTCCTCCTCTACTTAAGCCCAAAGCTCATTCAATGTCAGTACAGCTTCATTTGCCCTGTCCCTTATGCAAAGTCACCCATATATTCCCCTCTTTTCTTCCCTTAATAATAAATATGATGATGATGATGATGATGATAACATCTTAGAGTCAATAAAATAACTGTCAATCTGGTTACAAAAATCAGGTTAAGGGGGTGTCCTGGTTAGCTTTCTGTTGCTATGATAACTATCATAACCTAAAGCAGTGTTGCAGGAGGTGCACTTCATCCTATACTCCCGGGTCACAGTTCATCACTGAGGGAGTTGGGTGGAGAACTCGAGGCAGGAACCTAGAGGCAAGACCCACAGCAGAACGCTGCTCGCCGGCTTACTCACTGCTTATGCTCAGGTGACCTTCTTATACAGCCCAGACCCACCTACCTAGGGATAGCAGCCTACAGCGGATGGCCTCACCAATCATCAATCAAGACAATTTCTCACAGACATGGCAACAGGCCAATCTGACCTGGGAAATTCTTTAACTGAGGTTCCCTCTTCCCATGTGACTTTAAGTTGTGTCAAATTGATAACAAAAACTAACCAGTACAGAGAGGGTAGGGAAAAAAAAAATCTGTGTTCAGACCCGGGGAAGAGAATTGGGGACAAAAACAGCAGGGAAAAATCTAAAATCAATCTGGGTCTGCCTAAACTGACAATGATTTAGTCAATGTGAGAAATATTAGAGGTTTTCCAACTATTATTTGGCAACACTCACCCTTAACTAACCTTAAAATATACAAAACTATAGCATCATCATCAATTCATCAAAGCAAATGAGGAAAAAAAGGCCCTAAAAAGCTTATGCTCTACTAATCTACAATTTATGGCTGAACAGAAGAAGAAAAGATGTCCACAGCTGTTACAATATACTTTTTATTTCCATTTTAAGTTTCTAATCACCTGGCTAAATCTGCCTATTTCACCCTCTACAGGTGAGTCACACTCACAACAGTTCTTGCACATGAAGAGCATATCCACACAACCTCAGGATTCCATTAAAGACCTCTGAATTCCTATGCCAGAACAAATTCAAACTTTAACAAGATGCTTTGGCATATGAGAAACCACTGCTAAGAACACATAAACCTGCACCTGTTCCATCAGTCTTTGAAAATAAGTGTGATCTATCTCCCCAAACTCCTTTGAACTATCATGAAAGAATATCTGGATTAACCACTACCTTGCCAGATTTCCCATCAGATTTCTGTCCTACTTCCACTGTGGTTATCCTGAGGAAGAGTTAATCAAAATAAAGTCATGAGTATTACAGGTCAGTCCATCCCTCTAGCACAAAGGCCAGGAATCCTGTCACCCAACTGCACTTGCATCAATGGTGTGAGAGATGGCTCAGTGGGTAAAGACACTTGTTGCCAAGCCTGATTACCTGAATTCAATCACCAGGACTCACGTCGTGGGAGAACTGACTACCAAAAGTTGTCCTCTAACTTCAACATACATTCTGTGGCATATATACGTGTACACACACACATCTCACACACACCCACCCACACACACACACACACACGAGGGGGGGAGGAAGGGAGGGAGGGAGGGAGAGAGAAAGAAAATAAAGAAAGAAAGAAAGAAAGAAAGAAAGAAAGAAAGAAAGAAAGAAAGAAAGAAAGAAAAAGAAAGAAAGAAAATTAAAATGTAAAAAACAAGTGTTTTGCAAGTTCCAAAAGATCAGCTCTGAGGACAGTGGCCAGAAAAGGCATTTAAAAAATATTTATATATGTATGTGTATGCCTGTTTGAATTTATATACACCCCAAAGAGGGTTGTCAGATCCCCTAGAACAGGAGTTACAAGAAGTTGAGAGCCACTATGTGGGTGCTGGGAACCAAAGCCAGGTCTTCTGCAAGAGCAACAAGTACTCTTAACTTCTGAGCCATCTCTCCAGCCCTGAAAAGACTTTAAAAAAAAAAAAACATCTTTTTAAAAAAATTTTATTTATTATTTTTATTTTATATGTATGCATGTATTGCATACATGTAGGTAAGTGCACCCATGTCATGCAATGCCCACAGAGGACAGAAGAGGCCATCAGATCCCCTGGAACTGGAGTTATGGACAGGTGTTAGCTGCCATATGGGTGCTGGGATTCAAACCCAGGTCTTCTACAAGAACAACCAGTGTTCTTAACCACTGAGCCATCTCTCCAGCCCCCAAGACTTATTTTTTTAAAGCTAGTGTCTCATGTAGGCCAGGCTGGCCTAAAACTTGCTATGTGGTCAAGGATGACCTTGAGCTTCTAACCCTGTGCTGGGATTATAGGCTTGCACTACCACACCCAGTTTTTGTGGCTCTGGAGATAAACTCCCAAGGCCTTGAGTATCTTAACCAGGCCCTTTACCAACTGAGCCTCATTCCTAGCCCTTGAAAAGCATTTTCTATACTTTTCAAATGTCATGTCACAGTTGACTTATAGACAAATTTTATTTCACATACCACTACACTAATAGATCGTGCACAAACACTGGAAAGGAGAATAGCCTGCCATGAAATCACCAAGAAGCACGTGCCAGCAGAGACTGGTTCAGTCAGGATACAAGAGACCACAGTGGAGCTGATCTAAATTTGTGTGCTTTACGTGGCAAATTTCTACATATTTGAGATGGTTCTAACTGACCATAAAAGCCCTCATCTGCCCAGTAAATGATAACATTCACAAACACTTTAAACTTCTCCAAAGGACATGCTCAGTGGGCCACTATTTTTCATCTTTACTTTTCCTTCCATTTTAAATGCCAGAGAACTTTTTTATGAACTGCCAGATTACAAGCCTAGAAATTTCCCAAATGCTGTACCCTGTGTCTATCAATCTGTCTTTAAGCTGAGACATGTCTTCCTTCCCCTGCCTTTGAAGACTAAAACATACATTATCATCTTTTCTGATGCCCAGGCCTTTGCCTTGAACCACAACAGATCATTAAGTATGACAAACATAAATTTCATAAATTAATTCTACTTCATAAATTAATGATTCTATTCTATTTCATAAATTACTAATAAGAAAAGCCAGAGTAGGGTGCACAGAAACACTTCATTATTTTCACAATAATTTTATGAATCTGAAACTGTCCTTTCTATTTAGAAAGGTTATATTTTTACTCTTTAACTAGAATTAAAGTGTGGACATTTTTTGTCTTCTAGATAACCAACAATAAAAACATGTTTTAATGTTTTGGAAAAAATTAAACTTTATAATCATAACATAAAAATACTACTTTGAAGAAAGTCTTGATGGCAAATGTAACAGAAGATTGGGGTGTGTGTAATCTAAAATCCACAGGGACAGAGAGAAGGCCGAGCATGCCTGTAAAGCTAGCGCTCTGGAGGCCAAGCCAGGAAGATCAAGTGTTAGAGGCCAGCCTGGTCCATACAAGGCTCTCAGAACAACAACAAAATTAAATGGTTTAAACAAAGTCCTACAAATATACTAAACAATGAGAACAAAGAAAAGTTTTAAATTATTAGAACAGATATTTAAGTTGTACAACTATTTTTCAAGTACTACTCTGTGGTAAAACTCTGCAGTCTAAATCACTTCAATTACACTGTACTGGCAGCCCTGGAGACAGATGAAACTCTTGAAAGTGCTAGGGATTGAAGTGTGTGTCCTCTCCCACACCGCCCATAAATTCACACGTGAAGTCCTAACTCTCAACGTGATGTCTTTAAAGATGGAGCCTATGGGAGCTGGTTAGGCTTAGATGAAGTTAGGAGAGTGAGGGTCTCATGATGGGATGGATCAGTGACTCACAAGAACAGTGTGCTCTGCCTGAAAACACAGCAAGAAAATGGACCTCTAGACCCAGCCATGCTGGCACCTTTACCTCATACCTCCAATGTCCAGAACTCTGAGTAAGTTTCTGTTGCTTCACCTAACCTATACAGTGTCCTATATTAGACTGTTTAAGGTAGCCCAAGCTAATTACCACAAACAGGCATTTTGAGATATGTAAAAAGCCATGAGCACACTCATCCCTTTTAAACCAGCAATCTTCCATCTGAGTTCTTCATCTTTGGAAATAATTGAAACATAAAAAGTTAAATATGCATTACTTAGTTTTAAGTTTTTAAGCCAGTAAGAACCCAAATGTCTAATAGAAGGAACGTGGCTAATTCTATTTTATCTAACATTATTAATCATTTAAAATTATTACAAAAAGCATACAGCTTAGAATAAAAGCATGTAATAAAATTAAATGCTAATCAAAATAAAAATCTACAATAACAATAACCATATAAATAAATGCAGACAAATGTTTAAAAGGATAGCTACAAACAAAATAATTTGTTGGAAAGCATTTTCTTTAACAATACAAGAAATATTTTAAAAATATAGTTGAGAATAATGTTATGTAGATCTTTAAGCATAATCACATCCTTACTTCTAAATTATATAGTGATTTTTTTCTTTCTAGACAGTGTCCACTACTCCCAAAAAATTTAGAATGAAATATTTATATTTTATACATGAGAACCATCAATTTTCACTATAACATACTTTTTATTATATTATTACTTACACAGAGATGGTTTCCAAAGCATCTTCAAAGATTTCCTGGGAAGGAAAAAGAAAGTATAGTGAGTTTCTCAAGAAGGAAGAATTTCATTGTGAAGAACTGTCTACCCATGTGGGCGGGGGATGAGGAAGAAGGTGAGCAGGGAGCAGGGTAACAACTCTGACCAGTGGGGTTCCTGTCACAGAAATTTGTGTGAACTTAAGTGAGAATCCTTTTTCTTTTTATTGTAATTAAGACTCGTTAAAAATACTCAGCCTGCACCCAAACCTGGCTGATATCGAGTATGACATCTCTCCAGGAGTAACCTTCACTCCTGGGCCTCACTCACCCCAGACACAGAACGCTACACAGGACATGCCCGATTCAGTCTTCATTTTCTCCATGGCTGGCCACATTAGCATCCTCTGGGCCTTCTTCTCAGATCTGCCTGCACTACCTCTGAGCTACCTGCTAGTCTAACTCAAAAAGAAGAACCTCTTTTCCCTCTGTCTCTTTTTCAGACATCAGCCAAAATCCTGTACCAGGCTGACCTGAGCCTCTGCATTCTCACTCTGAAGACACACACCCCACTCCATGCAGCTACCTGTCAGCCTATCTGAACTGTAACTCCAAAAGCATGATTTTTCTCTCTTCCTCTCATCCAGCTCGGCTCCCTCTCCCAGCAGCTGCCAAGATTGCCAGTCCTGTTTTGGTGACTGTTTTTTCCTCCCAAACTCTAACAAGATTGTCCTCTTGTTTACTTCTATGTCCATTTTTTAATTCTTTTATCCATGAAACTAAGAACCCTCAAAATAAAGACCCTTATGCTGGGTGTGGTGGTGTACACCTTTAACCCAGCAGAAGAGGGTGAATCTCTGTATGAGGCCAGCCTGGTGTCCATAATGAACTCCAGGCCAGCCAGGGCTATATAGTGAGAACTTGTCTCAAACAAAACAACAAACAATAAAACCTTGGTGTTTCTAGCATTGGAGGTTGAACCGCCTGTGGTGAGACACAGCGGCACACGGTGGCGAGACACAGCACTACACTTTCACCTTCGTTAGTCTGAGGAGTCCTAGACTTTTAGGAACCTCAACTCAGTGCAAATAAGGATTTGTGTCTTTGATGCTGAAAAGAATTTCACAGCTAGCTCATATAGTGAAATAGGGTTGGCTGCTGTCTGTGTGGAGGTGAGGGGACAACTTTAGTTGCTTCTCCCCTTCCACCTTGACATGGGTTCTGGGGGTTGAACTTTTAGGTCATAGCAAATGGCGAGCACTTTCACCTGATGAGCCCTCTCTCTCTTAATAATAGAGATATGACAGTTCCAGAGATGGCTTAGAAAGAATTAGAATCTGATGAGCTAAAACCAGAAGCCACTAGGGAGTTTAGCACATGTCCTTTTCCATAAATGGAGTTTCTGGTTAGATTCCTAAAAACTTACATGTTTATGGCTAAGGGGAAAAGACCATTAGTGGTGGTTAACTGTATTGAACTCTATTTTCTGCTAGAAAAGGCTTCAACTGCATTCCAAGATGAGGGGCTTCTCTAACTCCTCATGTCCTCCAAGTTTCCCCTGCCTTTCTATGGTGCCCCAATAAAATACAGCTATCGAGCATCTCTGAAGCGTGTTGAACAGGCTCTCTGTCCTGCAGGATCAAATACTCAGCCAATTCTTAACCCTTTGCATAAAAAATAAACAAGCACATCATCTCATAGTGCAAATTTGCTTTCTTCTGCAATGGTAAAATTATGTGTATACCAAATACTTATTTTAAAGTAAATTTATGATGTATTATCAGTAAATGTTTGATTTGTATACATATATGTGCAATATGCAAAAATATGACTTTGTTAACTCTGTTGCATTTCTCAGATGAAAAGTGGTCTTGTGTAGAAAAAAAAATATAAGACGCCTAACTCTAGCTGAATCACAGACAGCATGCAGATTATCTGCAGTTGACAGACAGGGGAGTTCATATGACTAACACACAAGAGCATTTGTAGAGAACTCTGGTTTCTTCCTTGAAGGCAGCTGCATTGGACTCCCACATCCTATGGTACAGATGACTGAGGGACCAGCACCCCTGGGCACAGCATGACAAGTGTTTTAACCTAAGCATACCTGACTCAATCACACATTGCCAACAAATGGTAATTGTTTTTGTTTTACTTGGGTTTTAGTTTGGTTTTAGGTTTTCTGGCTTTATTTTCTTTTGTTTTATTTTTATTTTTGAAACAGGGTCTCAGGTACTCCAGGCTGGTCCAAGACTTCTATAGCTGAAGATGATCTTTAATTCCTGATCCTTTTACCTCAACCCTCCAGATGCTGGGAATACAGGTATTCACCATCATGCCTAACTGTTCAATAGCCTATTTTGACTCCCTTAGAGTCAAGGACCTTTACACTCTCTTTGCACTACCTAACAGCCCAGCATACTAATTTTTATTCCATGGGCCCTGAGCAAATAATCGTTGGCTGACTGATTAGCTGAGTCCCCTTCTCCTGTAATGAAGGGCCTTGCCCTAAGCAATTGCACTTTGCACTTTAGCAAATGGACTAATGTGGTAAGCACAGGATTCCTGGAGAAAGCTTCCAGATACCAGGCCAGCACTGAGGTCCTGCTGGCACAGTAGCATGAAACCTACCTCAGCCCCAAGGACAGGGGCCCTGGACACAGATACTGATACCCAGTGAGGGGAGGGGAATTTCATATGAAATTCCAAAGAATTTTCATATGACTTTGTTAGCTTTGTCACATTCTGGGGAGCAAAACACAAGCAAGTTTATTTCAGCACAGCACATTCTTATTTTTTTAATTTTTTTATTATTTTTATTTTATGTGTATAAGTGTATTGCCTGCATGTGTGTAAGTGCACCCATGCCATGTAATGCCCACGAAAGTCAGAAGAAGGCATCAGATTCCCCCAGAACTGGAGTTACAGACAGTTGTTAGCTGCCACATGGGCGCTGGGAATTGAACCTGCGTTGTCTACAAGAACAGTCAGTGCTCTTAACCACTGAGCCATCTCTCCAGCCTCACACAGCACATTCTTAATAAATGCTTATTTCCAATTATGAAGACGCTAATGATGAAAATGTTTATATTATTTTCATCCCTAGAGGAGAGGCAAAGACAATGACAAATATAATGTTAACAGCAATGGTTTCAATGCGCTGTATTAATTTCCAAAGAAACCAAATAAAGTCACAAAATTTTCCAAGCTTCCTTATCTAACTTCCAATTCATTTTGTGGTGTGAAAGGAATGTGTGGTAAATATTACTCTCTGAAAGAAAAAGAAGAAGGAAACTTAGAGCGATGTGCTACATATATCCCTAGAACCACTTCCCTCAGGTCTCCTCCTCCTCCTCCTCTTCCACTGTCCCTACTGTTAGCCAGGGCCACACCATTTTGTAAAGCTCTTCCATGTTGGTTAAATGGTGATAAGTCCTGGAACCAAAGTAGTTTGGTGTCTAGAACTAAAATGTTCTAGACTCTAGCTATTCCCCTCCTCACAGCCCATTTGGCGACACCCCAACTGTAAGCACGCACTATGGGCTACTCATCAATAATGCAGCATGGAATCGTTCCTATTCCTCTAAAACCGATAGCATGCGGCCCTCTCTGCCAAGTGAACCTGAATGCTCTTCGGAGCCCCTACTCTGACAGCTACTCTTCTAATAAATCTCTTACACCAAAGGAAAATCCACTCTAGTGTTGTCCTTGAACCCCAAACCTTTCACCTACCTCCATTTTTCCATCTTTCATATGGATGACTTCATGGCCCTATGAATGGATGCTACCATGTACTTATTATCTATGGCCCTTTAGCAGAGATGAAGGCATTGGATGGGGCTTACAGACGCCTTCCTCCTCAATGAGAATGACCCTGCCCCATCCCCAGAGCACCAAGCTCTCCACACTGAGGTGTTCATCTGCCACTCCACCCTGTTGACCAGTGAAACTGTGGGTTTGACTAAGGACTCATAGAACCCAATAGCTGCTGAGAACAAGTACACAGATTCTATGCCCACTTTAGGGTTCCTCTAAACCATGCCCAGGGAGATGAGGCATGAAAACACGCCCTGATGACAGAGGAATGCAGGCAGAGAGTTAAGATGAGCAGGTCTTACACAGAAGCTGCAAAGCCATCACACACAAAAACATTGCTGGTGAAGAGGAAAGCTGGAAACCCCAACCCTCCCCAGCCTAGGCAAACGGGCGAACTGGCTTAGAACCACGGGTGCAGCCGCAGAGGCACTCCACAGTGTCTGTCACACTGGCAGCAGATTTAAGTTGCTAATGGAACATGTGAAGTTGCATGAACTAGGAGAGCCTGTGCTCTGCGATGACTCAGAAAGCCACTGCTATGTGACCTAAAGCCCCATCTTTTGTGCCGCAGGTACTGGGTTGAGCTACTAAATTCTTCTCTCCACTCCAGCCTGCCTCCCCCTCCTAGGAGGGTACTATCTCTTAACAAGCTGCCCCTGTTCCTGCTTCTATCTACACATCTTTGTCCAATTCCTTGCTCCTGGACATAAGAACCTAGAACTCCTCCAGGTTCCATGTCACACGCTTTGCCCTGGAACTCAGGCAGAATTAAAAGCACAGAGACTGACTGGGTCCAAAGGACTGCAAACACCCCTTGCTGTGGCCTTCAGCTCTGTGACTTAAGATGTGCAGGATGAGAAGTCAGACTGAAGTCAGTTACTATACCAGGATTCCTCAAACTACTGAGTGTAAATATTGTTACACACAGCGAAGGCACACTGGTATAAGTAAATATACATCAATTATTTAATTACACTGCCATCAGAGAGTACAGTGGAAAAAATTAATTTAGGATTGGAAGATAGACCTGTCTAGGTGTGAACCTTGATTCCACCCCTGACTTGGAGCAGGTATAGCACTCTGAAGCCTCCATTTCCTGAAGTGTAGGATGGGAATCCCAACCACCCCCCAGGAGTGTTGTAAGGAGTTTAGCGAGACAATGCGTGAAACAGGTCTGCCGCAAAACAGGTTCCACTAATACAGTTCCACTGAATATTACTCTCAG